ATGAGGAATAGTATAGGTCCAAGTACCGTACCCTGTGGAACCCCAATAGTAACTTTCTGCGGATCACTGAGTTGGTCACCAATTTTAACTTTCTGTGATCTGTTAGATAAATAATTCTGCAAAACTTTCAGTGTTTTATCTCGCACACCATATTTGTATAATTTTTCAACAAGTAAATTATGTGATACTGTGTCAAATGCCTTGGCCAAATCGAGAAATATGGATAAACATTTCTTCGATTTGTCCAAGGAGTCAACAGCTCTTTCGACAAGATCCATTATTGCATTTTCAGTACTCAACTTGCTCCGAAAGCCAAATTGGTGTTCAGTTATAATAGACTGGCTTTCAAAAAATGATATTAGTCTTGTTTTCAGACTCTGTTCGAAAATTTTTGCAAAATTATTAATTACAGATATGGGTCTGTAATTGTTCAATTGATTTTTATTACCTGACTTATGCACTGGAGTTACTACTGATTCTTTCCACTGAGACGGCAGGTATCCTGTATGAAATGATAAGTTTATTATGTGAACCAAGGGAGTTATGATATGCAAATGAATATGTTTTATCATCTTAGCTGAGAAACCATCGGGACCTGGAGAGCAGTTATTTTTAAGATTCGAAATTATAATAACTATTTCATTTTCATTGACGGGTTTCAAAAACATAGTTGATTTAGGAGATTTATCTTTGAGGAACCCGTTATTTAAATGACCTCTGGCAATTTTTTCCATCATTTTCTGTCCAACGCTAATGAAATAGTCGTTGAACAAATTTGCTTTCTGATTGTTATCGATTATTTTATCACCATTTTCGTTTATTATGGATATATTTTGGACGTTATTTCTAGCACCATCAGTATTCGAAATGTCTTTGATGATTTTCCAGGTTTTTTTACAGTCTCCATTTGCTTTATTCAATTCATTCCTGTAGTAGTGATTTTTAGTTCGCTTTAGTAGCCTATTAAGCTCGTTCCTATGATTTTTATATTCATTCTCAGCCTTAGTTGTTTTAGTTCGGTTCCAAGTTTTCTTGAGATAATCTCGATATTTTATAGAGTTAATCAGACCTGAGGTGATCCAAGGTTTGATGTGTCTATTTTTATTACTATTCAATATCGTAACCTTGGTTGCCTCATCTGTATATTTCTTAAATTTGCTTATGAAACGATCATATGCAAGTTGTACATCGTCACAGTTCAAAATACTAGACCAATTCTCTTGTTGCATTAGTGAAGTTAGTTTTATGTAATCAATTTTTTTTATGATATCACTTTGCCGATTCATGGTTAAATTATTTTTTCGTTTTACGCTTAGCGTAAGTAAGATTGCATAATGATCTGTCATATCAGTTTGAATTATATTAGACTTCATTGAAAATTCATTTTTTTTGCTATTTTCTTTCCTTACAAATATATGGTCAATGATAGTACTTGTCCCTTCTGTTATTCTAGTAGGTTCATTAATGTATGATATGAAGCCATGTTCAGCAAGTATATTTGAGTATCTGATTGTGTTTTGCGTGAGAATGTCCTTCAAGTTAATATTGATATCGCCCATGAAGATCTCAAGATAGTTTTTGCTGGAATTCATGAGAAATTGTTCTAAGTCATCCAAATATGTTTGTACGTTTATAGATGGGGGCTTGTAAGAAGCAGTTATACCGATTGTTACGCCACTGGTTTCAAAAGTTAGTCTCAGTAGTTTTGTCTCAGCTAAAGGAACGATTTCAGCATTTGCAATAATACTGTTTTTTACATAAATAATGAGGCCATCGTTTTGATTCACTTTAGAGTCATTATAATAAATAGTGTAGTTTGGTATACTGTAAATACTCACTTCTTCAATATTCCATGTTTCTGATAAGACTATTATATTAAGATTATCCTTCCCTGACTCTAGGTATAATAACAACTCATCAAAGTGCTTTTTTATACTTCGTATGTTGAAGTGTATTATACCAATACCTATAAATCCTTCTTCTTCTTTTTCGAAACATTCCTGTAAATTTCCACAAATTTTTGTTCTTATTTCTTCCTCCTCATCTAGAATTTCTAAAAAATCTAACATGAATTTATAGTTTGAATAAATCCATTGTGTGTATACACCTAGTATCTAAATATTATAATAATAGCAAATACATAAAATGTGAAATTGGTCTTGCTGAAATAAAGAATTTATTTATTTATAAATAATAGATAGAGAAATATGAGCAAACAGAGTATTTGATCTAATGGACATATTTAATTCAGAAAAGTTTATCAAATTCTTCTCGTGATTTTATTATTGAAATTTTGTTATCAATGTTTACATATATTATGCCTTTATCGGTCCAAACACTTTGTAGAGATGTTTTTTCAACAGCATGAGCTAGTAATTCAATTCTATGGTGTGTTAGGTCTTCGCGTATGACTACACCGGTACCTTTGAGCAATTTTTTCTTTCTGTATATCTCCTGTTTCATGTTGAAGTCTTTGAGTTTCAAAAATATCCCTCTTGGTTTTCTTCCTTCTTCCTGTTTTCCCACTCTGTAGCATATAACTATGTCATTTGTAGAGAGGTTTATTGCCAGTTTCGTTCTCAGTAGTGCAAGTATTTCTTCTCTGGTATTTTCTTTATCTTTTTCTTTAACATTGAAAACTCTCAGATTTTTCTTTCTTCTGTCCTGGTCTATGTTATCTAATTTTTTCTCTAGAATTCCATTTTGTTGTATAAGTTTACTAGCATCATCCTTACTTCTTTTCACCATGTTATCAATCGACTTTTTCACAGCAGCTAATTCATCTTGCAAATGGGTCACTTTTTGTTCAATTTGACTGAACTTTTTATCGATACTTTTTATAACAGCATTCGACACATTGTCGACCATAGTTTTTATAAAATTTGCGTCTTTCAAACACCGAGTTAATGAAGAATTTACTGCTGCTTCAATCTCCTCACGAATTTCTCTTGTAATAACCATTTTGTTGAAATTCACAATTATTACATCAGCAATAGTATAGCCACCAGACTTGCTGTTATAGAAGTTTTTGGGAGAAAGAATCACACCGTTTTCACTGATTTATTTTAAATTTTACTAGGAGCACACGAGCACACGTCTATTCAGTACGCGCCATATTGGAATTGAATCTATAAAATAAAAATATTCGTATTATTTCAATATATTTGTAGATGATTTGCCCCAAAATGTCACTGCGTTTAACAAATTTTTCTATCAGGGAGTCTAAAAGAAAAATCCAGTAGCTTGTCAGTGACAATTTGTTTGAAAAAATTTTTGAAGGAAAGAAATATAGATATATTGAAAAAATATCGAATTTGTACTTATCTTTGGACGTTTCGGGACCGATTCTGCTCCCGTTCTCAACATGTAAATGCAAATTATTTTTCTTTGAAAGTTGTGCTGCGTATAGTTTGACACTTTTCAGTGTCATACTGATGTTGGCATATGAATGAGTGATTTTAGTCTACAAATGAGTTACAGGATGTTTTCATTAATTGATCTTGAATCTACCATTTTCATGTTCAGTTTTCAGTAGTGAATACCATGTTCTATCAATATCAACTGAACAGGAAGCAATGCTATTGTCTCCGTTTAGAAGAATGCAAGCGGATTCCTTTATTTTTCTTTTTTGTTTGTTATCTTCCTTCCAGGATATGTTCAGTTAGCTTCGATTTATCGATATGTCTTTTCTTGATATTGTACTTGTGTTCTTTTGTCCTTACTGAGAGAGGTCTCTTCGTTTCACCTGTATAATACTTGTGTTTGTGGAAAGTATTTGTCCCTCTACAAATATATTGAAATAATACGAATATTTTTATTTTATAGAAACGAGGAGAGAAAATCCCAAAGAACCAAGTAAAATTCATTATGTAATTTTGCAATCATTTCCTCTTTTCCATGATCATTTTGTTTTGTATTTTGTGTGATGATAATAATGGAATTTTGTTCTCGAAATCGCCTGCTTTGTAAATTGAGGAAACATCAGATTCTCACAAACAGATTTTGAAATCTCCTGTTCGAAAATGGGCCTAAAATATAGTTTCATTCTAATCAGATGCTGTTATGAAAAGTGAATTTCAATGAGTACCTCACAAATTTCGCTCTTCTTCAAATTGATTTTGCACCCATCTGGCCATTTCATATCTATCTTCGATAAGCGAATGGTTGATATTTGTTTCGGAAAATTGAATAAATGATATCCATTTTTTTCAGAATTGGCACAATTTGTTACACAGCAAATAATTTCCATAGCTGCATTCATCTCGAATGTATAATTATGAAATTTTATTTCAATTCTGACGTTCATAAAATGTATTGTCAAATCCAAACAATGTTGAATGAAAAGGCGCGAGACGACTATGGTGCTCTTGTCACAATGCAAGGTTTGAAACTTAATAAATCTGAACATTCAAAAATCCTAACCGTTGTCATTTCTGTGTCCGAACTCTTATCAAACTAATAACATCCAGTGACTCTAATCTGTGACACCGCTCAGTCTGAGCCAAATCCACGGCACAGCAATATATTTGTTGCGATTATTCCGAACATACTTCCGTTATGTGATAACCAGTTGAAACAAGAAGAAAATGGAAAGGGATAATGTCCCCTTCCCGAATATCCAAACGTGCCGCAACTCAAACTGATCTGAATAAGTGGCAAAGCGTCAATTTCTCCGAGAATATCACGAACCGTGTAACTAGCACCCTGCTGAAGATCAGATATGGAAACAAATTCTTGTGATGTGTCAGCTTCCAGAACATATTGATACAAAATGTCATAACAATGTTGCCAGTAGCTTCGACATAATCGCGAAAAATGTGTTTTTCATCATTTACTCATTTTGCAAATTAATCAAATGTGCCAATTTCAAAGTTCTTGTAGGACCATAATTGAGATAGCTATTGAGTAAAATATAAAACATCACCCTATTCATTATGAGTGATGATAATTAAAGGATATTTTGTGAGGGTACTTTTCATCAACTTGTTTTCATCTTGCAGGATTTTCAAATTTCTGCTAGAGACGGTGATGTTGGTCTTAACAAGGATATATGCTATAGTAAGGTGCGAGAAGACGATGAAGAAGGTGAGTAGGTATATTATATCCAATATCAATTGCACAATACCCCACATGGTGCGGCGTCGGTGTGTTTGAAGTTCCCTTTTGAATGAGTGCAAGTGCGGCACGAGTCTTTGCAATTGTTCTTAGATAAACTATACTGACCTTTGCTATACTGACTGGAGGTTTTGAGATGTCGTATCCTTTGACATCATAGGACACCTTAAAAAACATGGCGACTTGTCATTTTCCATAGATACTTTCACGGAAAATGTTCTTCAGAAATCATTTTATCACTATCAAAACCACTCAGGCAGTCAGACGATCCTGACAAGCCCAGTCAGCACATCCTTTCGTCGACAATCTTGAGATATGTCGAACAAATCTTCACCAAAACTCTGGAACCCGTTTGTCTATAGAACAGCAAAGCTTTGGGATTCATTGCCGAAGGAAGTATTCCCAATAACTTAACATACCCAAAAGTTAGCAAAAAATACCTACCTTCTTCGTTATGTTCTGATTTCCACGAAATGGGACATCCTGTAATGTTCAGAGGACATCGTGAGAACCAAGGGAAATTAGGTAGGAATTGGTGTTCTTCTTGAATTTCTGGAGGTTATATACCTCGTGGAACACCTCCCTTGGCACTGTGTTCCAGAGCCTCGCTGTTCGTCTCCTCTCCATATTCTCCCTATGTACGCACGATATAATAAAACAAATTCAATTGAAACTAATATTATATATCATATCAGCAATTGATTTGGGCCGAGAAAGGTTGTTCATATAACCATATCGAATAACCACATGACAATCATTCCCATAGTTATGAAACTATATATCAGTTTGTTATTTCAGGAAGTTTCATTGTTTTGTATTTGAACAATTATCAAATGGACGTAGTTTTGCAAAAAGGAACCTACTCACATGATCGTCGAAACTGAGTACTATGCCTAAATCAATGGCTAAATATCTATTCTGATTCCAGCAAAGAAGATCCAAGTCAATTTCAAACGTATTGATATTAATTTCCGATCAAAGAATCATCTGGAATCATGAGCATCAATCTATTTGTTTAAAAAAAAACACGTTAGATGGTGCACGTGAAATTAGGTTTTTAGATCAAGACAAAGGCTCTCTCCCTAGAGTCGTGGTTTTGGTCTTGAAAGAAAAATAATGTACTCAAATCTATCTCATCAATATCTGATGGGATTTATTTCAGCTATTCATTTCAGTTATTTATTCATCATATGGTAGGTTTTCAATTTTTGTTCACTCAAAATCAGTTGTTGTTTTTTCACATGTGATGAAATGAGGAAGTAGCAAGGTAAAATATCAGAGATAGGTTGGATAGACTATGATGTACATATTTCACTAAATATACCGTGTTAATTCAAATGCTGAAAAATATTCAATCGGATGATAGACTAGTGAGAAAACAGCAATATAACTTTCTGAGATGTCCTATTGATACACAAAGAAATATGAAAATTGAACTCAGTATCTTTCAGCTAAATACATCCACATAGATGAAAGGACAGGAACCGTTCACGTATCAAAAATTGACAGAGATAAGAAGGATATCACGATGTACAAATCAGAAATTTCTGCATTCGTATGTGAGGAACCCGATTGGAGAACATCACAAGTCATGAGTTTCTACATAATAGATATCGATAACAATTCACCACTAGTTATCTGGGTTTTTGATTATGAGAAAAATAACAACACATACGATGGTGAAACCTCGAAGTCAACCAGTTTGAAATTTTATGAAAATTATGCAGGGAGTTTGAATACCACGATTTTTATCAAAGACATTGATACGGTAAGCGATAATTGCTATAAGGTACTTATTTTCTTCGCCGTCTTCAGCATTATGAGAATTATACATATAATATACGTATCAATTCCCGAGCTATTTTTTTTTGAGAATCGACCATTATAGCCGGGTCTGCAAATTGATAGCCGGATCGAGGCCATAGCGAAGTGCATATTACCTTTGAGTATTCACATTAGTGTATAAAATCAATGATATTACATACTTTCGTCGACCCCAAATACTAATATTAACATCACAGTCCTACTCACACGTGAAATCTATCGGATTCTGTGAATGATTGATTTTGACAATAGCAGATGACAGTGTTGTTTTCAGCTCACTCTTCGCGCGGACAACGGTTTCCAGCTCGATTTTTACAGTGAATACCTTGTCAAAAATTCAGAAGATTCCAATAGATCTGTTTAAGATCAATTTGTGCTATATGAATTTCAAGAAACGATGATGAAATAACCTATAACGTCAAAACATTGTGTTTTTCTCTCTGTTCTTTTAGTAAACAGAAATGTAACATATTTCAAACAGAAAAGAAACAAACAAAAAAAAACATTCTCATATGCTCTAGCGACTGAGCTAGCCTGTAAATCATAAGTGTACGTGATCAACTGTATAATAATCATAACATAGGTAGTTATAATGATTAATAAGTGTCAAAATATTTTTCAGTAGATCATGAAATGTTTGAGTAGATCAGTTGATCAATATGCAAATCAAGTAGAACTGGCAACCCAGCAGCAGACGAAAAGTTCTTGTGAACGGAAAGTCAGTATCTTCGAACGAAAAGTACTTGCCTTCGGAAATAGTCGGTTTTTCGTTCGGGAATTAGACGTAAAATGTGATTTTTTGTAGAGGTCGACGAAAAACGGTTTTTTACCAACTGACGACTTATTTTTGTGACTACGGAAAATCGAGCAACGTATTTGAAACCCACTGAAATGATGCTACTTTGTAAACATCCTATAGTATCAAATCATTGAAATCTCAATTTTTTGCAGGGAGATAATGCTCAATTTTTCATCGAATTGGAAAATTCGGGCGGAGATATCGATTTCACAAAGGCTTTCATGGTAGTGCCAACAGCAGGATATAGAAGTAGTGAATTTCAGTTGAATGTAAAAAATGCTACATATTTAGACTACGAAGATCCTTCTTGGCGGCACATCAAGTTTAATGTAAGTGGATCGTTAACATTGGCAGCTCTATTTGAATATGCATGGTTATTTCACATCACCTTGAAATAATCCTATACAGTTATTATGTCTGATTTTGAATTGAGAAAAGAGAATTTGATGAAATCATATCATCCGTAAATCTGTAGATGATGCTATCTGGTATTATCGCACAAAAAGCGAAATTTGTTGGTACTAACTGATTGGTATATAGATATACTCCTTTGAATAAATGAAAATAAATATCAATTCTACAAAGCTTTCCATCATCTTCAGTATTATATGTATCTTTTCGGTCGAACAACCGACAAAAAATTATCGCTTACTTCTATGTATAGAAAGACAAATGATAATTAACAGAAGGAAATTATAACTATGAGGATAACAGAGAGTATATGCAAGATTGATAAACTAATAGTAGAAATAACGAATAAGTTTGAAATTGACGATCAGGTTGTTTTCAAGAATATAACGAGCGAATGAGGGCCAAGGTAGAAAAAGACATCCAAATATCTATATATAGATATGTCAAAGATTCGTCAAATCGTACATAAAAAATGGATGAAATCGCAAAGCGTGATGTAGTTCTGATTTTTTGATATATAGTTAGGACCAGTAAGGGAAGTATGAACCCGAGTTTGCAGCTTCGAAAAACCTGTGCTCGCTTCGTAATACGTTAAAAACGTAGTAGTAGTAGTAGTAGTAGTGATAGTGGGGAGACTCAAGCAAGGCAAGTAGGACCTCATGGACTATTTTTCCCGACCCCGCGGCAACCTTCACCTCACCTCAGTTACGCGGCTACTTCGGCGAACCTTCTTGACCTTCTGATGAAATCAAGGGTGTCATCCTACTCGAGAGAGTTCATCTCAACTCTCTGAAGCGTTTCAGTTCCAAAGATGTTGAATCTTAGTCTGCTGAACGCTTCACATTCTCCTAGGAAGTGAAAAGATGTTTCTCCTTCTTCCTCACATATCTGGCATGTTGGTTTGTCTACTATACCCATTATCGGTAGGCAGTGACTGGTCAGGACTTCGATAAGAAGTTTCACTCCTTATCGCCCTTGGCTCAGCAGTCACTCCGTCCTCTCTTTGTGAGGGGTAGTTATCAAGTCTTTTGCTTGCCTGCACCCCACACAGTCCCTCCTTCTCCCTGAGTTTTCTCCACATCCACTCGTTCAGTGCGGATGAAATTTGGCTTCTTGTGATGCCTCATGCAGGTTTTTGGGCCGTAAAATGGTGTCTCGGCAAGGAGCCTGGCGAGTTCGTCTGCTCTCTCGTTGCCTTGAATCTCCCCATGTCCTGGGACCCACATCAGTAATACCTCCTTATTCTTTGGAAGGTTTTCAACGGCATCTCCGCACTCCCGAACTAGAGCTGATCTAGTTCTGGGGGAGCATGCTGCCTGACTATCAGAACATATATAAATTCTCTGTTCCGGTACCTCTATTGCTTCTTTTAGCGTTGCTACCGCCTGGATTGCGAATATTTCGGCCTGGAATGCCGTTGGATACTTCCCGAGAGCACAACTCTCTTGTATCCCGTTAGAAACGTTAAAATATTGGGACCCATTCCAGATGTTGCATTATAACTCATGAATTGTGCGTTTTCCGCTATTAAATGCGATGAAAATATTTAAACTTAAATTAATTTTCAACAATTCCACTCGAATCTCAACTATGTACGTTTTTGAGGTTTAGTACTCCGAAGATTTGTAAATTTTCATAAGAAATATCAATTTCAAGTCTTGTTTCGAGTCGAATATCAACATAACTACTCAAACTTCCGTCTGGTTCATCTGTGCCCACGGGAGATTTCTCTAAGACCATAAATATTGCCGATTGGAATTTGTTCGGCCAGGTTAGGCTTAACCGGTGGTCTTCGGACTGCTATATGGAGACTATTTCACACTGACGAGAGTCGAGGAGCTCGAAACCGGTCTGTAGGTGTTGTTGCGTTAACCTCGCTGAATCGAAATCAATTGGTATTAGGAAAACAAACACTTGCATTAGGATTTGTTCATACGTATCGATTTATAGATTCCGGGAGGATGTAATTCAATGTTCTACGTGGCATTAGCCAGAAAAGTAGTTGTTTTTTTCTCGTCATCTACCATTGTTGTTCATTTTATTTACATTTGTGGAAATGAGCTTTTTTGTATTTATTTTCCTACGGAAAGAGCCGTAGAAATAAAGTTGTAGTAAATTTGTATGGCTTTCATTTGAGCACGAAAGGAAGCCTATAACTCTGATAGTTTCATGAGATTGTGAATAACAAACAACTTGGAAAATTGGATTTTCGAAGAAATGAGCCTAAATACGTCTATTCATATGCAATACTTAAAAAGTACAGGAGTATATTTTTGAATTCATAATTTTATAAAATCTAACGAATTAAAAATTGACATCGCTCAATTGAGCTCTTATCGAGGGTCCTTCTTCATCACGGTCGTATTCCAGGACTGAAGGAAGTTGCTGGTACCTGATCTTCTGAAGGTGGAGGATCGTCGAAGTTGTCGTCATCCTCGTAGATCATAAAAATAGCGACATTATGGCATGTCTTGTTGAAGCACTGGTGTTCACAAAGTTGGAGCATCTTGGTCCAGCTCTGTGCTTGAACTCAAATTAGGGCGATTTGTAAAGGACAGTTGGAGCTGGTTCGCATAATGTTGTTATTGTAATAATTGAATCATGGGAGTTTGAGAGTTCTTTCACCAACTCCACCCAATTTTGTACTTAGTTATTTGTGCAATACGATTGGAAGGAAGCAGCTTCTTCAGTTGGGAGTAAACGAGCCAAGTTTTCATCTTCGCGTTGGCCTCTGATTTTACGGATAGGCCGTGTATGTTTTCAATGAATACGTATCCTCCACATGGTGAGGGTTATTTAGCTGTCTGCACGTGTAGACATTCAAATAATTGTATCAAATGAATTTCTTGCTATATATTTTGCACGAAAGTCACCATTCTTTTCAATTACTTGTCTTCCATTTGGAGCAACTAGGCACTCCTCTCCAGCTTCGGGTATAGCCTTGTGACTCAGAAATGTTAGGAGGAACACGGTTGCCATGTCCTTCAGTTTCCTGTTCTTTTTTAAAAAACTCCAAAATTCCATTTTCATTCGCTAGCAAATGGTAGAGGTGGTATCGAATCCGCTGAAAGCGTAAAGAGAGATTCCGAATCCGGAGGACAATTTTATTCCTCTTTGATTGAAAGAAGTGGTGGGAAACTGAGTACAACTTGTCACACTCTTGCCACTCATCTATATTAAGCAAATATTTCAGATAGTCGTGCCCAAGCTGCAGCGAAGAACAAGTAGGTCCACATCCTCTCCAACCACGATCACGTTCTTGTAAGATATGGTGTTATCAAGGGCAGTTCGGACGATATCATAGTCTGCATCATCTGTCGTTATCTTAGTTTCAATGCATTCGAGTCCAAACGCAGAACACAACTGATCAATGAGGCGTCGTTTATTGAAATCGTTGATGATAGTAGCTACAAATCTGTTACTGAATGATGGGGTTGGGTTGAAAAAGGAAACGTCCGTCCCATGGGTTTTCAGAGATATAGCCCTGTCACACTACCTAGGAACAAAGGCCATGGTCCTCACCAGAAGGTGATATTCCTTATTTTCACATCTTTTCTACGTCAAATGCTCACAAATTGTCGAGCAAATTGATATAAGTATTTAGGCTCTTTTCTTCAATAATTTCGAGAATTTTTCAACTTGTTTTCATTATAATTTTGATAAAAACTGTGAGATCTAGAGATTCCCTCTTGTGCTCAATTGGGAGCAATGAAAACACTACAACTCCATTTCTAGGTTGAATGATTAGGTCGATATTCGGTCCGGAACAAGAGCAAAACTTGGAATTTATATTTTTTACGAAAATTAGCAAATCTTCGAAGTACTATATATCTCGAGAAATATAGAACGTACACAATTGCAATTGAGCTTACTTCATTTCGAATTGTTTTCACTTTAAAAACTGTGATTACACCTCCCATCTGAAAATGCACAGTTTATGAGTCATAATGCAACATCTGAAAAAAGTCCAAATATTTTGTCGTTTTTTACGTATCACGAAGCGAGCACAGATTTTTAGTAGCTGCATTTCAAAAAATCAAGACTACCTCACGCTTTGCGATTTTAATGTCTTATTTTACTGGCGTATTGATGTTACGTTAAGAATTGAGGATAAGATCAGCGAATGAACTACCTGTCTTATATCCATCTAGTTGTAAGTTTCCAGATTTCTCAAATGCTTTTTTGCCCAGTGACTATTTAACAAATAATTCGTCTACCTGTCTAACCGATATAATGAGCGTTGCAGTTAGGTTCTGAACGAGAAACTTTGTTACCTCCGGATTTGAGTTCAATAGAGAATTTGTCTCAAGGGTTCATTCTTCATCTTGTTGGAAAGCAGCTATGGTCCAACCAATCCATAAATGCCAAAAGTGAACAGAAGCCTGCCCAACAGCTATAGGCCAATTGCCCTGTCAGTCATCTCGAAAGTGATGGAGAAAGCCATCAAAATTGAGCTCATCACATATTAATGACTAATAATAGGCAATATGGCTTTCGCCACCAAAGATCAACTGGATATTGACTTGCTCACGTCAACCATACATGGCGAGCTTCATCATTAAAACAGGGAAATCTCTAGCTATGGCGTTAGATATATCCATGACAATCGACTGTGTTTGGCACCAAGAACTGCTCCACAAAATATCATCATACGGCTTACCACCTCAGCTATGTCATCTTTCATCGAGTTTTGCTTTACGCAGATCGCTCTATGTGGCTGCGGATGGAGTATCGTCTGATACCATTGTAATCAATTCCGGCATTCCACATGGATCAATTGTGGCACCAAAATTATTCCTTTTTCATATCAACGATCTATTGGGAGCAACCACTTGCCCTATCCACAGCTTTGCAGACGATAGTATTCTCCATACTGCGTTTTCTTCCAGAATTCCCATTTCTTTCCAGGAAACTGAGAACTTACGATGAAGGCAGGTCAATGCTGTCAATGAAGATCTTACGGAAATTACAGCCTTGGTAACCAACAACCTAGTTGAATTCAACGCCACCAGAACGCAAGCCTGTATTTTCTCTAGAAAGGCGGAACTCAGTATGCCTGATATAACAATGTATTGTACCATCATTTTCTACATGCTCACTATATCTTTGCTCAGTATTACTATCAGCCATACTCCCTCATGGCAAATCATGCCCGATCCATCGCGAGAGCTGCTTCACAAAAAGTTGGATTCTTGTTCAGTGCGAAAGTCTACTCCACACCTGAAGAGCTCCTCATGTTCTGAAAAGCACATATACGGCCAGATTCAGAATAATGTTCTCATGTTTATGGTTCAGCACTCAAACATACGCTGATGTTCTTAGATTCCATCGAGAGAAGAGCCATTCGCCTAGTGAGTGATGCCACACTCACCTACTCTTTGATCTCATTAGAACACTGAAGGAAAGTCGGCAACCTTCCACTTCTCTATAGATACTTCCACGAGAAATGTTCCCTAGAAATTTCTGCTATAATTCCAACACAAGCAATACCAGTCAGACGATCTCGACAGGCCCAGTCAGCACATTATGTCATCATTAACCTTGAAATATGTCTCACAGCACTATACCAAAACTCTCTCGTCTATGGAACGGCGAAGCTTTCGAATTCTCTGCCATTGAAAGTATTCCCAAGAACTCATAACCTCCAAAAATTCAAAAAAATCTAACACCTACCTTTTCTTCCTATCCCCCCGCCCCTATCCTAAGAAATAAAGAAACTGCGCATCGTATCGACCCTACACGTTCAGCAATGACATCCGTTCAATTTTTTTTTGAATTACAGTAACTTGTGACATACGCCGAAAGGAAATTGATGATTCGAGACCCCAAGTTTTTCAATACAAAATAGAGAAAGGAGGAAGGAAAGCTCAAAGTCATCTCCAAAAAGTTGTGGAGATGACTTTGAGCTTTCCTTCCTCCTTTTAAAAATTCCACTCCACTTTGAGCAAACATGGACTTCTACCAGAGATTACAAAATAGAGAGTTCCCTGCGATTTCTGATAGAGGATTCGGTTTTCTAGTGATAGGGGGGGGTTGAATATTTGATAGTAGACCCTGTATAGCGGCAAATATATTTCGAATTCGACGTAACTACTTTATCAATATCATTATAGTAGGAGAGCCGGCCGCAGATTTCTACGCTCATCTCATAACGAAATGATATACCTATGTCCCAAAGGAACGTAAAATCATTGTAGTACATCGAACGGCACCTGTGCCAATCACTATACTGAGCAAAATGATAAAAAAATTGCATTTTTCTCTGCGGAAATTTGCACTCGATTTCTCGATTTGATAACGTGATGAGAATTATGCCATCCAATACCAATTAGATGGTAGACCTCGAAAACTTACCTATCCACCCCTCTGATTCTGAGCCAAATCCTTTGCACAGCGATTAATTTGCTCCTATCATTCCGCACATAATTCAGTCATTTGATAACGAGTTGAAACAGAAAGCAAATGAATGGGAAAAATTCTACTTTTGCGAATATTCAACCTGCTGCGATTCAAACTGATCTAAGTTAGTGGCAGAGCGTCAATATTTCCGTGAATATTTCGCCCTCGTCGAGAGATAATATCCGATGGACCAGTGTTAAACTCATGTGGTGCTCACACTACAAGTATTCTAATCCACATGTTGAATTTTACACTGGTCCATCGGATATTATCTTCAGAGGGGGACAAAATATTGTAAGAAGAATTGATACGCTCTGCCATCAACTTAGATCATTCCGAAGCGTGGCACGTTTGAATATTCGCAAAGGCGACATCATCCCCTTTTATTTGCTTCTTGTTTCAACTCAGTATCACATGACGGAAGAATGTCTGGAATAATAGGCTCAGACTGAGGGAATTTCTGAAATTAACCATTCAGTTGGTATCGGATGGTATAATTCTCATCTCGTTATCAAATCGCGAAATTGAGTGTAAATTTCCTTACAGGAAAGTGCATTTTGCTCAGCATAGTGATTGCACAGGTGCCGTTCGATAAACTACAATGGTTTCACATGCCTTCGGGGCATATATCATTTCTTTATCGAAATTGACAGCCGGCTCTTGGACTATTATGGTTCGTTTCACATACTATTTCAATAAAATGACATCTTCATTATCATCTTATACCAATATAGTCTAAGATCCGAACCTAAATCGACCTTCACCGAGCTGATAATAGAACGAAATATATTTTATCATGAATTTAGTATATTAGAAAACATATTAAAAATGGGTTCGCTAAAAAAATCCTGGGCAGACTATTTTTAATTATTTTTCGAAAAATGATTTTTAATTAAATGTTGCAACATCAGGATAATAAAAAAATTTTGTCCTGACTGAAAGTATAAAACGTATAGAATGTGCAGCCGTTGGGTTGTCTACTATTTACCTGGGCGAACTACTGGGTTGTCAGGTAACACAGGTATATCGATGCCAGTTACTTTCACTGGATTGGATAATTAAAAAAATGTATATCATCATAAGCGCTGTTTAATTGCGAACACGTTGATATAGGGTTGTCTGCGAAAATTTCGGTCCTATTAGGGGTTTGCGAATTTTAAAGATTTTAATTTCAACGCGCGTGGAAATGTGTGACAGAGAGATCCGAGGTAAGTATACTGTGTTATAATAAAGGACCCAACATCGCAGTCGCTTGTGATGGGACCCTGAATAGTAGAAAGTGCGCATGCTCGGTGTGTAAACTATAGAGGGTAGAGGTACCTCTACTATCCTTCATATAGTAAAGCAGTGCGTGTTATTTCGGAGAAGCTTAATGACTTATAATATTACATTGCATCGAAAACACGTGTTATTCTGTATCGTTGTGCTAAAAAATGGCTGAATCCATTCGATGATGCCATCGATAAAAAATTATTGTTTAACATTTCGACTGGTAAAGCTGCATCGCCAGAAGTTACTGATTTCCTCCTGAACGTCAAAACTGCTGGCAATCAACAAAAGCTTGAAGTAATTGATATTTTTATTGTCTATTATAGATAATAGATATATTATTATGGTTATAACGCAATATATTGATATTATATTGTTTTTATATATTAGTAGTATATTAAATATATTTAATTATTATGTAATTAATTAATTTTTTTTTGCTACTGAAATATCAGTTGCTCCAAAATAATACGCACTGTTTACTATATGAAGGGTAGTAGAGGCACCTCTACCCTCCATAGTTTACACACCGAGCATGCCCACTTTCTACTATTCAGGGTCCCATCACAAGCGACTGCGATGTTGGGTCCTTTATTATTACACAGTATACTTACCTCGGATCTCTCTGTCACACACTTCCACGCGCGTTGAAATTAAAATCTTTAAAATTCGCAAACCCCTAATAGGATCGAAATTTTCGCAGACAACCCTATATCAACGTGTTCGCAATTAAACAGCGCTTATGATGATATACATTTTTTTTAATTATCCAATCCAGTGAAAGTAACTGGCATCGATATACCTGTGTTACCTGACAACCCAGTAGTTCGCCCAGGTAAATAGTAGACAACCCAACGGCTGCACATTCTATACGTTTTATACTTTCAATCAGGACAAAATTTTTTTATTATCCTGATGTTGCAACATTTAATTAAAAATCATTTTTCGAAAAATAATTAAAAATAGTCTGCCCAGGATTTTTTTAGCGAACCCATTTTTAATATATTTTCTAATATACTAAATTCATGATAAAATATATTTCGTTCTATTATCATCTCGGTGAAGGTCGATTTAGGTTCGGATCTTCTACTAATAGGTACGGGTTTGTTTCGTATAGTGAAGGTCGATTTAGGTTCGGATCTTCTACTAATAGGTACGGGTTTGTTTCGTATAGTAAATTGAGTCGAATTCAACATCGATTTTGGTCACCTATTCATACATAAGTAATACATGGCCAAGGGGAGAAAAAATTATCCTTCCTGTCTAGCTACCCCAGAATGCAAATATAATATTTTTCGCAAGGTCAGTTTCAGAACTTCCATTTTTGGGAGCTTGTCTGACTTCCGTTGTGTGTTGTTCAAACTAGCAGAGGTACGACTTTTCAGGCAAAAAAACTGGTAGCGGGATATGAGCTGCTGGTGCTTCAATAATTTCAACACGGTATAAGGCCCTAGCAATATTAGGAAGCTCCTTATGTACAATTATTTCGAATATATAAAAAAAATGATAAGATAAAACTTCAATCAATGGTAGTATAGACAGAGACACATCATATTTGTCTTTGTTCATTCTCCATTGAACAATTTCACGAAGATTGGATTTCTCCCAGTGGATTTATGGTAGTCAACCATCTTCGCGTTATCATTCAGGTTCATTTTCACAACAACTTTGATGAAACTCAATTAATCATTATAATCTGTTCTTTTTTTTTAGGTTTTATCTAGAGGTACAAAGAATAGAGATCATCTTGATAGATTACTGGTGGATATACAATTACAGGATTACAATGATGAGATTCCGAAATTCGAACTGATGGAATACAATGCAACGATTAGTGAAGCTACAAAAAAAGATGTTGTCATAACTACAGTACTTGCAACAGATGCTGATTATGAAGATAAGATTCTAAAGTGAGTGATTTGCTATTTAATCAAAATTGGAATGGGTGGAAAATCATACCGACTACCTACCTGTCCAGTCCAATGTCGCACCAAGAGAAAATAATGTAATAATAATAAAAATATTGAATTAAAAACAGTTCTTTTGAAACTTCTATCCATACAGGGTTTATCACGTAACCCGTGAATTGTAAGTTCTCAATGTTCCAATTTCTGGTTTGGTGATTATATAGGAATTAGTGATGTTAGGTACTAGTTTTGAGTTTATGAATTTTTAATAATTACAAGTATGAGGAAGAAAGAGGTATTATCCTGAGACCAGAAGTGATCAAATCATCTTTCCGCATATTGATATAGCAGCAGAGAGTTGAGAGAAGCTATTATCAGACAAAAAAATTCTGGACTGGTGTTGGTTTTCCGAAAGAAATACAAAACAATTATAATTTCTGAATTCTCCGAGATTTCGAAAATTGCTTGAAATTCATGTGAATAACCAATCACCCCATCAAAAAGAACAGTCTGGAAAGGAAAAGTCGAATAATCAGGTCATGAAATGCATGGCGACCACAAAACATCATAATTCGGGTCATAGCTGCATAAGACCATTAAGTATTGTTCCTATGAACCAGGTTTCTGTTTCAGCATACAGAAAGGTTCAGAAGTAACTTTTGAGGAAATGCAGTTTTTTTTATGTGGAACACCTTGTATTTTATTACTCATTTCCAAGTTGAGACATTCAACCATTCAACTCTGTGTATACGTTTCCTATCTGGTACAGTTGGATAGTTATGATCAATGATATTATCAATGCGTCTTCAATGAGATTTTTATTGGATAGTGATTTGGGCAAAAGGCTATCAACTTCGTTGTGACAGAGAACTGACATGTTCCTTCATTGCGATCCTGTGAATTCATTGGTGTGAAAGTACTACCCTAATAACACAATTATGTCCCATAGACATCATTAAGACGTCCTGTCGGGACATTCGGTCGTCCATAGGTCGTTCGAATTTGGTACCGCGGACGTCCATTGTAGTAAAGGACGTTGACGGGCAGTATTTATAGCTTACGAGTAGTCGATCGTCAGCGAGGTGGACGTTAACGTCCTCGCAGGGACCACATATTGAACGCTCGGACTGGGAGGTCCGTAGGACGTTATTCCTAGGACATTGGAAGGAAAAAAGTATCGTTCGCTTGCGTGGAGGACATTTATATAGGACGTATATCTGAATTCCTGATGCCAATGTATACGAACGATGGAAGTCTCTTAGAACACATTCCGAATCGTATCCAGGACATGTTGAGATCGTTCTGGGGACATCCTCAAAACGTTGTACATATGACTTCCTATAAAATTATATTCTCTGAAGAATATCAGTTGATGTTCGATATTATTCTTCAAATGAACATATGGATCATCATAGGAGTTCCTTCCGAAGTCATAATAGTTCATGTACCCATTGGGACATCCAACGGATGTCCCTAAAGGACATTCCGAATTTTATACGATCCTCAAAATATTCAGTGCTTCCGTGCAGAGATATTTGGAGTAATGTTCCGTCTACAGTATGTATCACGGGGGGCGTCTAGAGGCTGCTATTTCTATGACATTTGAAATTATGTTCTCCAGGTCGGGACGTCCCAAGGACAATTATTCAAGGTCTGGGACAGTCGGACTTGAACTGTACCAAATAGGGACGTCCCTATAGAACGTTGCGTGCTATCAGGGTATGACAAGAAAGAATTACTCGAATGTTACTTTGATGAATTCATTCATAGTTTTTGGTTGATGTTTCAAAAATGTTAGCAAAATATGCCGGGAGAATGAATTTAAGACAGTTTATTAGATTGAATAAAAATGTTTGTATCGTCATAAAATGCCAATAGTATCATAACAAGGCTGAATCATTAAAAAAAATAGAGAATGATGACCATTTCTATTAACTGATACTGTTGAACTTTCCTAAATTCATTGGAGGTGAATCAGGAGATTTTTCATTGGACTCCTGGCATGTTTTGCTAACATTTTGGTAACATTGACCAAAAATGATTAACAAATCCATCAAAATCACATTTGAGTCATTATTTTTTGTCATAGTTTCTTCACACCGAATGAACTTGAATCCACAGGATGACGATAAAAAAATATGCCAGTTCTCTGTCAGAATGAATTTCATAGCCTTCTATCTGAATAATAATAATAATTTTGTTGAAGACGAAATCATAACATGAATGGTCATAACTCTCGAACTGTACGAGATAGGTTTATATAAGGAACACAGTTGAATGGTGAAATGTCTCAACTTTTTGAATGAGTAATAAGATACAGGGTGTTCCATACAGAAAAACTGAGTCTCAGTAATTTTCATGAGTTCCTGAAAGGAAGATATACAATGGTCTTATGCAACTATGACCCGAATTACAATGTTTTGTGAATTTTCATTGTGAGAATATCATTATTTTTCAAGAGTTAGTTATTACAATAAAAGTTGAGAAATTAATTTTCACTGCAAAAACTATTACAGATAAGTATTGGGGATCATCAGAAGAAGTTATGAGGAAGCTAATAAGGATTTCAAAAATAAGACACATAGGACATGCTTGATTATCCAAGCCCAAGATTTTCTGAATGATCTGGTGTTGGGTTCCCCAGATATTTCTCATGTTCCATCCACCGTGAAACACCTTGTATATGTGATAATATATTGTCACTTAAAGGAGCGACCGTATTAACGAAACGAGTTGTATGTTCAAACATTTTGGGAAAATGCTTGTGGAGCGTTCCCCATCTCTAATGACTATAGTAAATCAAGGTTTATTGAAATTTTCAGACACAATTTGATTGGTTCTGAGTATGCCCTCCAAGTTCTGGGAATTAAATCGGACACCGGTGAAATATACGTCAAGACAGATGATGCTTTCGACTACGACACTGTCAATCCAATATTTGTTCAAGTGAGAGCTACTGACAAAGTTGGTCATACAGCAACCGTTCCTTTGACAATAGATCTGACGGATGTCAACAACAAAGCTCCAACTATTGATGTGGTGAGTACTCGTGGAACGTTTTTGAGATACCATTCGATTCCCTTACACAATTTTATGTTCAATTGAACAAAATGGTAATATTTCCTTCATATCCTTCCTATAAGTACGCACGATATTCTTCGAACATCATACAGATTTCCTTTTGTGCGCTCCAAGAGTAAAAAAAAAACAGAGATATGCCCCTGGTGCCAAGTAAATTTGTGGAATTCAATATTAAGATGGATCAGTATCATTTAATTGTAGTCATCTATTGGAAATTATTTCAGTCAATCATCATTGGTAGAAGAATTGAGTTGTATCGCCACGCAATATGTGATCTAACCTGACCGACAGCAAATCAAACCATTTTTTCGTGAATTCACATTCGCACTCATTGTCATTGATATTTATTTTGTGTTAGAAATACAATGAAATTTTTCCAGGGCATTAATCTTAGTGTTTCTTATTAGTACCTGCACGTTTCGTTTCAAAATTGTCAGAGACGTGGATTTGCATTATGGAATTTTCAGGGTAATCCGATAAGCGTGGAGGAGAATAAAGAAGTGGAATTCAATCTGGATTCGACAATAGCGGCCTCAGATATTGACACAAATGCGAGTCTGACAGTGAAAATAGACTGGGATGGATCATACGCCACCAAAAATTCAAGACGACTCAATATGACCGATGAAACCATTGCTCGAGAGGTTAAGTGAGTATCTTTAGTGACCGATCTGGAGAATGCGCTTCAAATAACGGAGTAATAAGAAACAAACTCTGAATCATCATCACAATAACGTTCAGTATCCTATATTAAATTCGAAATTAGGACATATTTCGGATATCCACGCTGTCCATCATAAGTCGAAGACGACGAAGAAGTAGTTTGACACTTTCCACGACTATTTTCTTCTGGATGTTTGATAAATTGATATTCATCGTACAGGACGTGGAAAGAAATTCGACGTGGCAGACAGCCAGGAAAGTAGTTGTTTTCTGTTGAATATTCAGAATGATATTATATGCATATCTTTATAAGAAGGAGAATGCAAATTCTCTACTTCAGAATATTTTGTTATCGTGTGTGTTCAATAGATGTAATTCAATATTCGTCGTGGCATATAGCCAGGAAAGTACTTGTTTTCTGTTGAATAAACCGAGAAGGAATCAATATTTTCATCACATGGAGAATGCGAATTCCCAATGTATTTCTTTATATATTGATAATTTTTTTTGTGTTCAAGAATATATCTGAGATATTCCTTTTCAATACTTCGTTTTGCCTACGCCTGATAATGGTCACTCTCGTCTCTGTTGTTGTTATTGTTGTTGTCGAGATGTGTCGTCATTATAATCCTGACCGTCCATGATCCTGACAACATATTGAAGAATGGGGCGATTATTCAAAGTTTGGTTTTTACTATCATTACATTCATTTCAAGTTATGATTTGAATTTCTCCATCCAAATAATTACTGAGGATATTGTGTATTCGATCAATGCATATTGATACATATAGAGTTGAATTGACTTTCTCTATTTTATTTGACGAAATCAAAACTACTACTCAAACTTTGGACGTTCATCTTCCATGATGATTTTTTCACTAAATTAAATATAGGTACGTTTTCCAGGAAAATATTCAATAGTGCTCGAATATAAGATATCAAACTGAATAGGTTCCTATAAGTGTGATGATTTCGCACTTGTTTGGTGTTTCGCTTATAATTCAAAAACGTATGTGAAATAGCGAAACCATCAAATTCTACCTCAAAGAAGACAGAATTTGCCTCAATTTGAGTCGAACTGCTGCACTGTGTAGGTCTAACATTGCTCCAGATACAGCACGAAAATAAATTCTTCTTCTTACCTAAAGTGAAATTCCAAGTTTTGGTTCAACTTTTGAGCTAATTATTGGGAGAAATACTGATCCTATGAGGAGTATTATCATGAGTAAAGGTGTAGCAAATCTTTTCAGCGTCAATTCAAACTCAAAGCGACGCGGATATATCGAAAGGTTACATAATTTGCAAAAAACCAAGAGAATTATTTGGGTTTTAATGAGATCAGATCTGAACCTTCTTCATGATTTGAAAAGTTCATATTTCTTTCTATGAATTCCATATGTGAGACTATAACTATCAAATCCGGGAATAAATATCGATGTGGTTGCAATACCCGAAGCGGTGGGTTCTCTCAATCGTCAGCAGACCGAGAGCGGCTGATGAGGCCTGATGGTGGGCTTAACACAAGAATTAAAATAACCATGATTTTTAGACCAATTGGACCAATTCACTTATGGCGGTCAAGTCATTCAAATCCCTTTTCCGATGTACAGTGTGGCCAGTTGCGTGATATCTCAGTTATCTCTCGAGATAGAACCTTGCGGTTTTCGCGTTCCTGTAACACTCTTTTGTGAAACTCAAGATGGCCTTATCAGATTCTGCATAACTCCTTCTGTTAATGAGATACTTTCCTCTCTCTCATTCGAGGTAGAAAAGAGCTCAATAAGCGTAGGACACCTATCGGAGTTCTTGAAAGCTGTCAGAGCGGCCTGTTTACTTTTTTCATTGGTTCACATTTGTTTTTTGTTTGTGCTCATTTTTCATAGCATCAATACAAACCGCTCAGAAGTGTTTCAATTGTTGCTGTCAAATGGGGAGGGGGGCGTGTTATTTTCTATCGCGAGGGTGAACCTGTTGAAACTTTCTTTGATATTTCTCCACCAGATGGCGATAACTTGACTACAGATCATCATGTCGTTTATTATCCGTTTTTATATGAACGCATATATTTTTCAGGTTCCTCAATGTGAAATTTGAGGGAAAATATAATGGCTACTACAAGAACCGAACAATTGATATAGGATTAGAAGGTGAGTAGCAGAAATATTCGAATGACCTCGCACTCGTATGATTGGGAATTCGGACTAAATCTTCCGGTGATCAAGATTGCTAGTTTATGCAGGATTCCTGTAAGATACTATAGAGTCAGCTGATCTACAGGGTGTTGCGAAATTGGACCGACAATGCTTGACAGGAGATAGCCCTCGGGATTTCATAATCACTGAGATAGGGACATACGGTCTTCACGTGTTCAGTTCTCGAGTTACAGGGTGTTGAGGTTAAGAAATAAAAATAGTTGTTTCGCAATATCTAAAAAAAAATTTAACATAATGCATTCAACTTCGGTATATGGTTTCATCTTTAAATGGGTAGTTTTTTGACCAGGAATTACGCCACTCATCAAATTTCAATTATTTTCAATGCCTCGAATTCATTGTTCAATGTTGTTCAAAAAATGTATCACCTTCAACTGAGCCGAAATGAACAGTTTTCGAGATATTCGACCCAAAATAGAAGATTGCATAGTAATTTTTCATCATTTTCAGTAGTACAAAATTGCAAATATATTTTTTGATGTTGAGTAGATTAGATACTAATCAGATCTCATTCTGTAGCTGAACAGAAATACACTGAGAAAATAAATGAAAAGTTGTATAACTAAATGTAATGGGGTTTCGAATTAGTTTCATCAAACACATCACATATTCGTGATATCACTTATTTGAGTGATCAATACTTAGACAAACCTATTGCATACCACCTCCGAATATAAATAGTTCAAATTATCATTCACCACTACATCAAATAACATGTTCCATATCCAGTAATTAATAATTAATATCTCCTATGTAGTGGTATTAGGATAGTGTTGAATGTTACTCTCGTTCCCAACTTCATTCATATACTCAGATAACTATCCCTACTACCTACCTAATTATCATAACAAACCTGCATATTATTGAGATCCTGTGATATTTTCCAGTTTTTTCTCCAAATAAGTATGTCCGTGACTGCGGTAGAAAAAAATTGATTCAGAGTTTGAACAGACAAAACTGAACATACAAACATGAACGAATCTATAAGTAGAAATCACTAGTTTGTATAGTGGTGAATATGAATTGAATAAGTAAAGTATGAATTTATTGTTTGTAGTGGTAAATACGAACCGGCGAGCTGTTTAGTATAATTCACTCATTTGTAGTGGTGAATAATAACCGTACAGGTAGGGTCCCTATCAACTGGTGCTTCAGTATGTCATATTGCCTAATCAAACTTTTTTTGTAGTTGTTATATTTGCTGAATGTAGTGACTGGCGCCTATTTAGATAGAACGTACAAGCAGTTGTCCTGCTGGAAGCGCTTCCAGAAGTACTTTTGTACGTCCTACTGGCAGGACGCGCGCTTGTCCCTCCAGAACTTCAAAGTGCCCTTCTCTCGATCCTTCTAGTAGGACGTATTGAAAAATCAGTCGCAACAAGTGAGCTAGAGCGTTTGAAAGTCTGAGGATACATTTATTTCTATATGAAACTCAGTGGTGGCACAGACAATGAGATAAACGTATGCAGAAAGAAATATATTAGGAAGTAATACAGGGTTTCGTTGATTTTTTTTTTCCGTAGAAGTTCTTTCCACTGTATAGAGCGTTCTATCTAAAAAAATATCATTTTGGATTGCTGTTTCTTTTTCAAGCGGTAAGGATCCCAAGAAATTCTATAACGATCCCCAACTGGTGATATTGCCAGAGTACAGGGTACAAGAAAAAGAGTAATATTGTTCAAGGAAAGAGTTTTGCATTATCATTCTTGAATGGATAAAAATAAAAAACTCACCTTCCTAGGTTTCGTTAGAAAATCTTTCTATCTGTAATAGAGTTGGGTAAATTTTTGTTATATTCCCATCAATGCCCCACTTCACTGTGACGGTATTACTGGATTTTATTATATTTTTTACAATCCCATAACACCTGGCGGACTGCCACTGGTCACCGAATTGGGAATAACTCCACGAATGATCATTTTTCCCATCGAAAGTGGTGGCGAGCACCGAAACGTGGTCACCCACAGAGATCATTCTCCCGACTGGAATATCTTTCTTTTTAACTCGTCATATCTTGCTACTGGGTGGGGTTACAGTTTCGAATAAAAAATGCGCTGAAAGCTCATAATCTGCACATTATTCCAGACGCACTAAAAATCCTACCAGAATCACAGAAAGTACTATAATTAATAGAAATCGAGCGTCCTCAAATGGGCTGATTCCGTCCTGCTGAAAGGACGCTGTACATTCTATTTAACCACAACGCTTGGTATGGTATAGTGATCTTTAGGTATTTACAACGGATAATTTCTCTCAGTGTAGTTATTTCACGCATAAAGAGAAAACAAAGATTATTGTAATATTCTAACTCTGAAGAAGATGAAAAATTACTATGCAAACTTCCATTTTGTGTCGAATATCTCGATAACTGTTCATTTTAGCTCAGTTGAAGATGATGCAGTTTTTCAACATAATTGAACAATCAATTCGATGAATTGGAAATAATTAAAATTCCATCAGTGGCGTAGAAAATATGGAAGGAAAAATTATCACAACCCTCTGTAGCGCACCTCTTGGTAAAATTTTCGGAATGTCTTTCTGGTCAAAAAATTAATCATTGAAAGATGAAACAATATACCGAATTTGGAGGCATTATATTCAATTATTCCTGAGATATTGCGAAGAACCTATTCAAATTTCAACTTCAATGCCCTGTATCTCGAGAACTGAATACTTGAGGACCGTATGTCCCTATCTCAGTGATTATGAAATCACGAGGGCTATCACCTGTCGAGCGTTGTCGGTCGAATTTCGCAACACCCTGTATATTCACTCTCTAGGTCTATTGAGGAAGGCAATACTAGGTTGTCCGTTGTCACGATGCGTATTTAGGCTTTTCAAAATTCCTGACAATCTTATTTGTGATATCTTTCCAAGTTTCGAGAATTTTTTAATTTGGCTTCGCTATCTACTAACGATGTTCAATAAGGCTGAAACGTATGAGCAGCAGCGCTATATTTGATATTCGAAGGATTGCCCACTGATTCGTCTTATCAGGGAAGATCAAAATAATCATTGTCAGCAATGAAGTATGAAGTTGTTGAACGATAAACACTAACATCTATGAGCGGATGGTTACCATGACATCATCAATATATTATATGTACAGGGTGGGCCACTAGTAACGCCTCGGTCTCTAGAAGGCTAACCACTTATCTTCTTGGAATTCTTCCTTTCTAGGAAGTTGCATGTCAACATAGGCTACCATTTAAAATTATTTCGAAACATACAGGGTGTCCCCAAAAACCATAAAACACTGAAGTTAAACTTTTTTCTATCGAACACCCTATATATTATTTCATTTTGAGATTCTCCCTGATGAGCTGATTCCAACGACTCATCATACTTGGGGTCTAGCAGTTATAATTACTGAAATATAGGGTGTGAAAAATCGAGATTTTCCAAGTTCAAGAATTTTTTGTGTCGAAACTATTCATAATTTGTCAAAACGGCTTACATGTCCCTATCTCTACTTTTGATTAACTATCTACTGATATTTAATTGGGACATATACCGGGTGATCAAGATTCTGAATTCTGCACCACCCTGTGGGACATGTGAGCCGTTTTGACCAATTATGAATGGTTTAGAGACAAAAAATTCTTGAACTTGGAAAATCTCGATTTCTCACACCCTATATCTCAGTAATTATAAGTGCTAGACTCCAAGTATGATGGATTGTTGAAATCAGCTCACCAGGAAGAATCTCAAAATGAAATAATATATAGGGTGTTCGATTGAAAAAAGTTCAACTTCAGTGTTTTGTGATTTTTGGGGACATCCTGTATGTTTCAAAATAATTCCAAATGGTAGCCTATGTTGACATGCGACTTCCTAGAGAGGAAGAATTCCAAGAAGATAAGTGGTTAGCCTTCTAGAGACCGAGGCGTTATTGGTGGCCCACCCTGTATATAATCATTATATTGCGACACTTTATCGAAGATGGGAAATTATGATTGATTGAAATGAAAAGAAGTCAATACTGTGGTTTTACTTTCATCAATTACAATTTCAAATGCTTGAGAATGTGTGACAATATAATGAATATTTTCAACCTCAAGGCATGTGTAGATGTAAATACATATGTATATAAATAAATTATTAAAAGAGATACACTTACATCTTCGGTATCATATGAAAATATATATCATATTATATAAATGAATAGGTATAAGTATACAGTGCGTCCATAAAGTAACGCATAAATTCATTATTGGCTAAATGAACAATAAAATTAGAAATTCCCGAAACAGGTCGATTTTTGATTTCAATTTACTATTGTTTCATATCATAATCTAATATACAGGGTGAACCACTTTCGTGTAATGACGTCATCACAAATTTTTTCGAATGGAACCCCCCCTTTTTTTTTCAATTTCCAAATTGCCTTTGCTGCTGAGCTGATTCCAAAAATGTATAATATGTTGCTTCAAATTGGTTCAGGGTGGGCAAAAATGCAAAAATTTACTTACAAAGTAATAAAAATAATAAATAAACGTAATAAACACATTAAATGAGATTACGTTTTGTTATACAACTACTTTGATAAACTATCAAGAACATCCAGCATTATTCTTAATAATTGTATCTTACAGCTTTTATTAGTGATCCAAGCCCGTGGACTATAAAATTCTTTTTGTTTGGCATTATCTTTTACCATTTTTTTTATTTGACAAAACTGTCAAAAACATTGAAGCACAGTTTCGTATTTTTAACGCTTTAGAGAAGGTACGTTCTTGAACTTTTTATGGAGTTATTTAAAATCTAAAGTCTACTTAAACAGACCTGGAAATATCCCTCAACTACAAAACCGAATCAGACAAGAAATACAGAGCATAACACCCGCTATGCTGCAGAATGTTAGAGACGAAAGTAATGCCCGGTTCAGTCATTGTCTAACGGTCAATGGAGAACAATTTGAACATTCATTGTGATTCGTGTGTTTGTTTGTTTTTGGAAGTGTATCACATTAATTGCATAACTACATAATTCCATTTGATTTGTCTATTACATTCAGTAACGTATTACTTTCCATGAACAATTTTCATATTTTTTTTGCATTTTTGCCCACCCTGTACCAATTTGAAGCATTGTATTATACATTTTTGGAATCAGCTCAGCAAGGGCAATTCGGAAATTGAAAAAAAAAGGGGGGTTCCATTTGAAAAAAATGGTGATGACGTCATTACACGAAAGTGGTTCACCCTGTTTATTAGATTATGATTTGAAACAATAGTGAATTGAAATCAAAAATCGACCTGTTTCGGAAATTTCTAATTTCATTGTTTATTTAGCCAATAATATTTATGCGTTACTTTATGGACGCACTGTATAAATGAATAATTATTAACTTCATAATATACTTCATGCAGATAGAATAAATAAATTTTCGAAAACTTGAATAATGTTCGGGAATTTCCCTTCTCTTTGCTGCAAAACGTCATACATATTATTTACCAGCGAACACTGAGATGTTTACCCAAAAATTGAATCAGATGAGCAACCGCCAGGAATAAGAAAGCAAGCATTTATGAATCACTCTTTGCAAATTGATGCACTTATTCATGTGTTAACTCTTATAAATATACCTTGGTGATAGGCTTCCACAAATTGAGAAATGATATGACATGCATTAAGAACAATGAATGCTTGCTTACAAGCCGACAATATTTATTTCAAATCCCCAAATCCACGATCACATTCAACGAAGATACTTTTCTGTATACTATGGTATGTACGTAGTTAGATATGTTATGACGTATACAGTATCATTCATAAAGTCGGCATCATATGGGAAAAACTTTTAATAATACTCATTTTGGAATTCAAGTTGGACGTTAAGTTTTGCTTCAGAGAAGATGAAAAATGGCCAAGGCTTATTTGTTCGAATATCGAAAAAGTTTACTTGAAAAAGTTTACTTGAAAAAGTTGTTTCTATTTCAATTTTACAGCTGCTTCTTGAATTTGATCTTTTTATTGCAAGTTTTAGATCTTGATTTTTTTTTTAATTTTGAGAAATTTCTGTAATATTTGAAGAATTGTTAATTCCGCGAAACTACTTCATACCAGTAGATTTTTCATGCTACTCACTTTCTATTACTTATTATCACTGATTATGGACAGAAATATGATTCTCTTCAGAAAATGAAAATACCCGCTTCCAAATTCTGTTATGTTTGATGCAAAGTTGATATATCGTCAAGCATTTAGAAACGAAATTCATTTAAACTGATTTTTTCAGTACTGAGAAAATTAATTCAAATGAATTTCGTTTCTGAATGCTTGACTCAAACATAACAGAATTTTTATGTTATGTTTGCATCAAACATAACAGAATTTTGAAGCGGAGATTATCATTTTCTGAAGAAAATCATATTTTTGTCGATAATTATAGATAATTAGTAATTGAAAGTTAGAAGCATGATGAAGCTATTGGTATGAAGTAGTTTTATCGAATTTACAATTTTTTTAATATTACAGAAATTTCGAAAGTTTTTAAAAAATATCGAAATCTAAAAAATGTTTCTTTTTCGAGTGAACGTTTTCGATATTCGAACCAATTAGCCTACTTTCAGCGATTAATTTGAAATAATGTCACTTTTGACATGTAGCGAAAGTCACGTGACTCCGATTGAGTAGGCCATTTTTCATCTTCTTCGAAGCAAAACTTGACGTCCAACTCGAATTTCAAAATAAGTCATTAATACAAGTTTTTCCCATATGATGCCGACTTCATGAATGACACTGTATAACACATGATTATCTGTTATTTTTTGTTCAAGTGAATAATCATCCCAAATATCCCGCACCTGACTACGAGCTCTTCGATTCCCTGTATTTGAAATTGATCGTCACAGATTTGAACACCGATGAAGAGTTTTTGAGGAATGAAAAATCATCAGGTAAGACCAATTTGCTGGTTCCTCATATAGAATGATGATCATGATAATGAAATGAAGGTTACGCAACTCAGACGCAGCTATCAATATGTGGCAATTCACAAGAGGATTTTTGATTTCACCCAACTACATTCATTTGAAAATAGAAACCAATGATCATTTCCAAGAATACGACAACCATTCATTCAATCGCATGAAACACAAAATATAAATATATGCCAAAAAGCAGAATGATCAGAAACAAACATAAAATACTACCACACCTCATTAATTCATTTTCTTTCATGAAGGACGGGAATAAAGTTGTTCATTAGGTCATAATTGATGGAGAAACAAAACATGTTAATTCGAAAAAATATCATTTTGGGAGTATCTAAAAGTGCATCCAAAAAACTTGGCACAAATTCGACCTGCCTAGAATACTGTTCCCATATTTGGAGTGCAGCACCCAAACATACCCTGAAACTGTTGGATTCTGTCCAAAAAAGGGTCATTCGTCTCGTGGGTGATGCCTCGCTCACAAACTCACTCACTTCTCTGAAACACCGGAGAAAAGTTGGCGATCTGGCTCTATTTTATAGATATTTTCATGGCCGATGCTGTTCTGAAATATCAACAATTGTTCCTCCCTTGGCAGTCGCCGCGAGATCAACCTGTCGAGTTGAGGCTTCGCACCCCTTCGTGGTCACTTTGGAGACATGCAGAGCTTTTCTTTCCGAAGAACGGTGTTCCCCGAGGCATGAAACCTCCAGGAATTTGAGAAGAACACAAATTCCTACCTTATTCTCTTGCCTCACAGTGGCAAAGTATGTGTACTGCTGTTTCCTCCTCTTCCTGACAGAACCTGCACAGCAGTTCTTCAGTCAGACCTATCGTACTCATGTGTTTGTTGAGCCTACAATGGCCTGTGAGAAGTCCCACTAGTATTCGTTTCTGGCTTAGTAGATATTCTGTGAATGTTGGCGATGGTTTTTTAATAAACTCTTTTGCCTGTCTCATTCCTGGCGATTTGTTCCACCATTCTTGAGATTTGGTTTGCATCCATGATTTGATACTAGTCTTTTGTATAGCTTTCGCAATACCACAGAAGGGTTCTGGGCCATTCAGAGCTTTGTTTGCTCCTGCTCGGGCAAGTGAGTCTGCCTCTTCATTGCCCTCGTACCCTGTATGTGCTGGTACCCATGCTAGAGTCAGTCTGTTCTGACTGCCCAGTGCATTTAGGGTTTCTAAGCAGTCCCATACTAGTTTTGAGTTAACTTGCATAGAGTTGACTGCTTTGATTGCCGCCTGGCTATCTGAATAGAAAGACAGGGTTATGAGAAGATATTCAGAACAGAATGCAATTTTGCTAGACTATTTCACGTTGACGAAGCATAAAAAGCATTTATTCTGAATGAGTCATGCATTCTTACAAGTGTACCGTCTTTTTGAACATTACAGGACACAAACTGATGTCTTCTTATAATTTCAAAGGGCTTCTGGTAATACCGAGCATAGATATAATGGTCTTGTTGGAAATGGTGATGTAGATCCGAAGTCACTTGGAAGACTTCGAGAAAAAACAGGTACCCAGAGCGGTTTCGCCTCTTTTGAAGTTCGTTTGGAGTCCGTGCATGTTGCAGACATCCACAGATTAGGTTTTTTCAATTCAACATTTTTTCTACGCCCTGTATGATGAACATCAATTCATTGTACAACTGACAAACACTTCAACTGACTTTGGATAGACTAGACATTGTTATATCAGGCATACTAAGTTTGTATGATATCATCCTATCTCCATAGATTAACGACTCTTTAATCTATGCTACCTCTAATGCTCTAATTTTATGAGATTCAGAAGCATAATTCAACAAATTCCTGTTGTGCTCAAAATCGAGTAAGGTTGAAACTTTGGTGATTCTAGGAGTCGATTTCTTTTTTTTTTTTTCTCCATCAGGATCTCGTTTGGTTTGTACCAAATAGAAATAATATGGAGTGGTAGATCGTCAATTAGCACTGAACTTGTTCAATAAAATTAATCTAGATATATTCTGTCGAATACTTACATTATTTTCCATTCTCTGTTCTTCAGTTTGGTATTATGATGCATTCTACACTCGATACGAATCACGTAATGATGCAGGAATATATCATAGCTTCAAGGTAATATTCCTAACATGCTAGTGTCATGTCGAAGCCCCAGAATTGTTGAAGAAATATTTATGTTTACACCAAGGTAGTAAAGAATATCAGTAGTACCCAGGAACCAAGATTGTATCCCAAGGCTCCAGCCGAGGAGTATAAGGTCCTGTGGTGGATATATTCTTCACTATTGAGGTGACTATTAAATTATTTTCACCACTAGCAATATATTTCGATCATTTTAGTTCAGTGAAACTCAAATATGGAGCTAGCATCACTATGTGTTACGTCTTCAATGTATAAAGATGATATTTCATATTTCTGAAGACAGTGGTTGGAAAGTTATTTTTGTTTATTGAACAATTGACAATGACATCATGTATCACTAAATAAGGATCACTTAATCTAAAGGATGTATGAATGTTCTGCCAATACTATGAAAGCACTTCTCCTCAATTCTGAATGAAATCTAGCAGCCATGTCCATGACAGCATATGACATACGTGAAGCCTCGAAAAGGAGTAAATAATAGTAGGTTTTGAATCTAATAGTGAAAAACGTTTTCATCTATATTCCCGAATGAAAATTGTTTTTCAAAAACTCTATTCGGTGAGATAATGCTTCTACTAATTCTCCAGGGTTTGATTTGATTCACCTGAGATCAAGACAAGATTTTGAAATTTTCAAAAGAAGTTGGCGACCTTTATTGAATATATCCATGATTTCAGCTCTCATTGTGGTGAGCATCATCGACATAAATGACAACACACCTGTCTTCGTGGAACCCGAAAACTCAAATCGCACCGTCCAAGAGAAAGCTGTGATTGGTACTTCGGCTGGCTCTATCGTAGCGATTGATCTCGATGTCAATGATAACGTTACCTATGAGTGCAAGTAAGTGTTGTGTATGTATTAATTTTTTGTTGTACTTCTTACATTTGGCATCAGCGCCTTGTATGCATTCCTGTGCCACCCAAAACTCTGTCGAAAAGGGATGACTCAAATACCTCACCATCGGTACTTGGTGAGCAAGCAATGATTTTGTTTCTTTGTTATCAAAAGCCTATCGAGAACTATTTCTTTTCTCTGCATTACTGCATTTCTATAATTTCAACAAGTATATTGACAATAAACAATCAACGATATACACATTTGTTGGTTTTTCGAACCCGCATTAGTATTGAAAAAGCAATCGATTATTAAGAAGATAAGAAACAATATTCAATTATACCCAAGATACAAGTGGAATCAAAAAAGTAGATTATGTAGCAAGAAAGATTAGTCCAAACATTGAATGTCTAAACAAGAGACTTTCAGCTATTATATTAACTGATCAACTGCTTACTCAGGAATATTCGTGAGACAGTTTTTTTTTTAATAATTCCTATTCACCCACAATATTCTATTCTATTCACCGATACATCATAAACAGTGTGACCCACGTCTAATGGAAACACCCCTGTATCTTACCTAATCGTTGGGTAAGGATCCTGAAATTCGCTTCAGTGATATACACTGCTCGCCAACAGCCATAGAACTATCATAACTTCCGGAAAATGATATTCGTAGTCGAAATAGGTCGAAAATCACTTCGGATACGGAATCAGGACGCCCAAATTCATATTTTTGCGGGAAAATTTTCAGTTCTGAGAAATTAAATTTTGTCGCACTTTTTACGGAAGCACCCCCATATCTTACGTGATCGACTTTATCTTCGGACTTTCCCTTCCTCCTGCAAATTTCAGAACCGTACCTCAATAATTACGTGAGATACAGGGGTGCTTCCTTGAGAAGTGAGACAAAATTCAATTTTTCTGAACTGGAAATTCTCTAGGAGAACTAGTTAGTTAGTGAATTGGGTGTCCTGATTCAGCAGTGATTTTCTACCTATTTTGACTCATGATATCATTTTCCGGAAATTGGGGTAGTTCCATGGCTGTTGGCAAGCAGTGTATATCACTGAAGATGATTCCACTTGGTCATTGAGAGCATTTTTGGAATATCTCTCGCTCCAGCAAATTTCAGGATTCTTACCCAACGATTACGTAAGATACAGGGGTGTTTCCATTAGAAGTGGGTCACACTGTAGGTACTACCTTTATTATTTACATTTACATTGAAAATGAGTCTTAATGAACTCAAATTATTGAGCAAAATTAATAATTCAAAACAGAGGTACTCCTAAGTGGAAACTACCTTCAATTGAAAAATTTCGTCTATAATTCTTCTATAAGAATCGAAACAAATCCAGAAGTAACTGATGTTCAATTACGTTTCGACAACAATAGGCGAGTCTTTTCATTTCTGTAATAAAATCATCACTCAAATACTCTTCAATTTCATGTTTCCTCATAATTTTTCGGTCGATTTTTAGTACTAGAATCATCAGTAATTCCACGGTAATTTTCAAACGGCTAGAAATTTACTCCGAGTAAAAACTGACGCCACGATTTCGTGAGTACGGGCAGACTATAGCACAGCTGCCATGTGTTGTAATACGTTTCAGAGCTTCAGAATTATTAGTTGTTCAATAATTCATAAATTCTCAATTGGGTATTGGTAATATTCCTAATTAGCAATAAAAATTTAATTGTCTCAAATTATTCCCTTATGATTTGTGGCTTATTGCTCATAATGAATTTGTGTAAATATTGATTATATATATATCAATTCACACTAGAGGACATCTGAGTCGGTGAACGTGACAACACGGCGCTCGAATTGTGGGCGTAGTCTTCTCGGTTTTCAGCATCCAGCACAATGTTGCAAAGTTTCCAACATTCACATGATATCTTCTTATTGAGAATGAAAAATATTTGGACATGCAGGTTGCTCGAAGAAGTGAAAAATGAACTATGTATCCTTTTATGTTTTATTCAACGACAGGACTCTGAAATGTCTTTGATAACTCTATTATAATTGGTGACTTGACAAACTTGCTTCATGAATGGAAATGGAAGATCATCCCAACAAAATATCATTATTATCAATAACGAAAAAGCATAAAAACTGACGTCACCATTCATTCGACGTGTCGCCAAATGGCATCCGCTATAAGTCAAAATGACTGACCAATAGGTGGACGCCATTTGGCACGTGAAATTGTTAAACATTCCATGATATGTTTCAAATTTCAACCTACATTTGCTATTTGCCCAATATTTAATTTCGTAGGTATTCGATTCAAACGATCATTGCCTTCTGAATTCACAGATATAGATCATTTCAGTAAATTTTTTATCAAAAATGAAGCAGGACGAGGATCTATTTACATTGAATCATACATTCGTGTTTTCGTCTGTTTCTCTACCAGTCATATAATATATGGAATAAGTAAGTAATGTGTCAACTGAATGCTTCATTTGAACCAGGACAATTTTCATTCGACAATCAACTACCCACTAATAATTATCTTTCGAAAAGTACTACATGTTGGCATTTGATTCAACTGTACGCTTTTCGGGGTCTATGGGATGCAGATGTTGAAAGCCCAGAATTTCATCTCAAACGATTGATGATGAATCAATAAATTACGTACGAAGATTTCAATTCATTAATTATCCAGATTGAAGGAATTTCAAACTCACATCCTCTCAATAATTCCATTTTCTTATTGGTCGCCCTATTGCCTCCCTTCCTGTTACAGATTTAACACAACATTTGAGCAACAGATTATCCAATTTTCAGAGATTCAACAAACGTTTCAGCAATTTTGAATAAGATTCACGAAAGAATATGACTCAACTCTACATCATCGATACGAATAGAAGGATCCAGCTACACCGATAATAAATCATCAGGAAGAATAAAATAAAATGTTCCTTTATAATTTTAACTATCAACTTATAACCTCATCATACACAATTCATACGATCATTGAAGCTTGTCGCGCGATTTAATTGTGGTAATTAACTAGAACTAATCCAATTTTGTGAAATCTGCTGAGTTTGAATTCTTAAAATTTCAATCTAATTGAATATTGATCATCGCGGCAGGCTTTTATGATCACATGAATTGTGTATAATGAGGTTATAAATTGATAGTTAAAATTAAAAGGAAAATTTCATTTTATTCTTTTCAGAGCGTTAAAATAAAAGCTTCTTGTTACATTTTTTTTTACTTTCAATTTATTTCTCAATTTTTAGTTATCGATGGCTAGGTTTCTCAGTATATTCACTTCATTCAACGCATAATTGTTGCAAGATCGTTTGCCGGTTAATTTCGAACAGTTCAGCTCATTAATAAGTGTATCATGAGTAGGTTTAGCCCTGTACATTATGATGAATCAATGTCAACGAATGTCAGTATTGATATGATAATCATGTCACAATAAATATTATACTCAAAACTATTAGAGTTATTCTGGTATAATAAACCAATATAATACAATAAGGAGACCTTTTAATGATTTTACTCTACTCAAAGCCAAGTATGCTTGACCAGCAGCGAAGAGCTTCGAGCCTAAGTAAATAACGGCGTAGTCGACAGTACTACCTTGCATTTTGTGTACTGTACATTCGTTCCGCGCTTCCCTGACTATATTTTGCTGGAAATTGCACGGACTTAGTGAGCCATATTGGATTTAGAGTGATGTGACATTCTTCGTAATTATTCTCGGCAAGTTCTTTCATTTGATACCCATATTGCAGAAGTGCGCCATCTTGAAAGTTCCGTTATATTGAATTCAGAATCAGGTCTCATTATTTTCCGAGTTACATTTCCATACATTGCAAGTTATATAAGACCTCCTAAAATAAATTAAAAATTCACACTTTTGTTTAATTAGAAACGATCAGCAGCCACCGTGTATGTGCGGCTACTGGGCCGCATCCTCAGCCTGCATCCTGGAAATGGCGGCATATCCCGTGTGGCAACAATCGAGACTTCTTCAAGAACAATTCCTCAGGCTATTCGTTATCTTTGTCCTTCTCCAATGGAAAAATCTTTCGTTTATATATATATCGATAACTATTCATTTCCACAACATTTCGATATTTTCAAAAAGTACTTACAAAAAATCAGCTATATATGTATACACATACAGTAACTACATGAAATCTGCATGACACAATCGAATTGAGAGTTACGAACATAGTTAAACTTTTCTCTAGTCCAATATTCCTCGGAAATTTCAGGATATGAGGTGGTTCCAGGTAGAGTGCTCCTTCACCTCTATTATGTCACATTATGTGTGCTCAGTGTGCTCCTAGTGCATTTTGTCTATTAACAAACGCACTGGTGACGTGAAGCTGAGTTTCCATGCGAACGAATTTCTTCATTTAACCAGACGAACCATAATATTGTTATTTCGTAACTAAATATTGTCGTGACTAGTTACTACAAGATTCTACTGTACATCGGTTGAGGTGTCGTTGGAGTCGTTAAAAAAGTATCAGGTTGATCGTGGTGAAGTGAAATAATTTGGATTTTTTTTAACTTGCAATATAATTACATGTTTTTGATATGAAAAATAAGTGGGATGCTGTTGACAGTAGAAAAATTTAAATTTGTTCTCCCTTTTTATGTCGACCATCGACCACTACCAAAACTATATATCAAAACTCTCATTATCCCAAACCCTTCCAGGAAATGTATTTCTTGAGGTATCTTATATTTGATGAACTAATTACATGATTTCCAGAGCACTCAGCCCAGAAACTGACTGGTTAGAAGTGGATACCAAATCTGGAGTTTTCATAGTTAAAGACGGTCACATAAACGCAGATCCAGACACTTTCACTTTCAGTTATAATTGTACTGCTACTGATACGGTACATATATCTGATACTCTCAAGGTAAGATTGTGATGATGTTTTTCACAACTAGGTCCTACCCAGCGAGCACAAATATCCCTGGGATGTTTTGGGATATTTTGAATATGTTGGCATGAGAATGTTTTTTGAGACATAATATGTAGGTACTTCTCAATCAGGTCTTCAAAGGATATTGGAAGTAGTGTTTTTGTTCTACTGTTGAAACTGTTTGCCTACTGAGAGGTATATTCAGAGAAATAAAAATAATGTTAACATGCCTTGGCAGGTTGCAGATATTCAATTGAAAATTCAACTTCCAGTTTTATAGGACATTTTTTTCAATAATCATTTTCTACACAATCAAACTTCATTCATGTGGATTATAAATCTCAGCATATTTCATGATTGTTCGATCCTCACCTTTTGTCCGAATTTTCAACACTCTAGGTTGTCTACACCCGCTAAGAGAGAACATGAGCACGGTTTCGGACCGAAGGTACAGTCGTATTCGAAAAAAAAGCGAACAAGTAAATTGGAGGTTGATATTAACGTCATCCTATTTGCGTAAAACGGGCTATCGCGAATGAATGTTTACCAGTAGAGTAATCATAGGTTCTCAAAAACACAAAGCATTGTCTGAGCCAATTTTACACAACGAGAACTAGAATGCCGAAATCTTCTATGTTTAATACTTGTACGCTTTTTTATTGAATACGACTGTACCTATATTTTATCTAATTTTCATTCCATTATCAACAGTACCAACGACCTCATATTTTTATCAGAAAAGAAGCAACGACACATAGGGTATTGTTCATTCTGATTGAAAATGACAAGACGCACGTGTCGTCCATAACGTTCAGAACGTCCGTTCTTATTATTCCAGAATATCCTTGATTGAATGTTATCAGAATGATCATAGAATATTTTAATCCTGCCAAAAAATATACCATGAACATTCAATTCGACATATTCTCAGAATGTTCAAAGAATATACAGTATCGTTACAAAATATGATATGAATGTTATTCCTGTGTCAATATTCATAATGCTTCCCCTGACTCACCCAATTATTCTCTAGCCCCAATTCTATGATTATCTTATACAGGGTGTAAATTTGAAAACTTTCAATGCGAATATCTCGCGAAAGAAAAAAGTTAGAAAAACGCCGTTTGGCAAAAATGCTAAAGAGTTAAGGGGAACTAGAACCACCATATTTCGGTCATCTCGTCGGCGCGACACACCCCAACTTTGAAATGTCAAACGACACTTCCTTTTTTTGGGATGCCTCAAATGAACAGTCTCAGTCAGTAGTATTCACCTGTACAATACTTTTTTTCCACCCACTACAGGGTGTACGAAAAATATAAAGTCGAATAAAATAAAATGAATTGTGTTAAAAGGATATTTCATTTGATCAGATGTTCAAAATACATTTCATTCTGTTGTATGCAATAGTATAATCGATGTTCAAATGCCATTCTAACATTTTGGAACACATCTCTTGGAAATATTGGCATTCTGCATTTTATTTTATTCGACTTTATGTTTTCCGTTCACCCTGTAGTGGGTGGAAAATAAGTCTTGTACAGGTGAATACTACTGACTGAGACCGTTCATTTGAGGTATCACAAAAGAGGTAGTGCCATTTGACATTTCAAAGATGGAGTGTGTCGCGCCGACGGGGTGACTCATCCCTTTACTGAAGTATGGTGGTTCTAGTTTCCCCTAACTCTGTAGCATTTGTGCCAAACGGCGTTTTCCTAACTGTTTTATTTAGCGAGATATTCGCATTGGAAGTTTTCAAATTTAGACCCTCGAATCAATGTTTTTCGTAGTGGGTGGAAAAAACTCTTGTACAGGTGAATACTACTGATTGAGACCGTTCATTTGAGGTATCACAAAAGAGGTAGTGCCATTTGACATTTCAAAGTTGGGGTGTGTTGCGCTGACAGGGTGACTCATCCCTTCACTGAAATATGGTGGTTCTAGTTCCCGTTAACTCTTTAACATTTTTGCCAAGCGGCGTTTTTCTAACTTTTTTATTTCGCAAGATATTCGCATTGAAAGTTTTCAAATTCACACCCTGTATAATGAGGTGCATGTTGACATCTCTCTATTCGACACTATCAGTGAGGATCCTATTGCGCAGTGGACAAAGTGTAAAAGGATTGTTAAAAATTCAATCACAAGAGAGTAGGTTCGATCCCCCAGCGGGGAGAGCTCATTTTTAATTTTTTTTATAATATACCTACCAGGAATGGTTCCGATGCAGCGAATGAAAATATGTGCAAAACGCTTGGAATGGTTTTGGTGTCCATGAAAATGCTATCGAAAAAAACAGGGAGATGTACTCTTGGGTATCTTTATAAACGCCGCCTGCGGCGGACATTGGCTGTTCTATAAAAGTTCCATTCATGTGTGTACAGAACATCGCAGTGGAAATTCAATGTCTTCACATCTCGTACTTTCAACATCGCTTAGATGTTTTTGTGCTCGGTGGGTACCTTCCGTAAATTATTCATATTTGCATATACGCCTGAGAATTTCATTCAAGCTTGTCCTTGTGCCTGATGCGTGAAATGAACAGGGATTATTTAGTTGATTGGTGAAATGTATTTTGGAGAGATTGAAGAGAATTCAGACCGTATACTACAATATATTCAATATTTAGTGGGTAAACATTCATATAGATGTATTTATTGATGTAGATTACACAATGTGTTTCAATGAATACGGATCAGAAGTCTGGTTGACCAACTATAGAATGTATAGATGAAATCCACCATTTATTTCGATTTTCAGGTTGACTTCTACATAATTGATGGGAACAACAGGATTCCTGAACTAAATATCAGTGACACGGTTAATCTGTTGGAACGACCTGATGATGATGCGATTGTTATCGATATGACAAAACAAATAAGAGATCTGGATAGAGATGGTGAGTAAATTTCTGTTTCACTCCTTTATCAGTAAACATTATGTCATGTATATTATACAGTTTACTCTATCAGTAAATCCGCATTCTTAAGCATGAGTATGCATGAAGAATAAAAACGCACAGTACAACACTTAAGTTATCCTAGAACCAAACCACTCCAATCATGGCATGTTGATTTGTCTTGCGATTTCAATTTCAGTATAAATGACAATCGTTGATGTTGTGAAATCAGTTAAACTAACAAGACGATCGAGTAACATTGTAACATCTCATCGTCTTGACATATTCGAATTCGTAGATATTCGTTCAACTAAATCACAGCAAAATACTACTGATTATGAAATATGGAAGATTTAAATGTGGTGGATATGAACCACTGTTCTCGGACTAGGTAGGAATGTACACATGTAGGTACCAAGGACTAAATTCACCTTCCTTCTTAATATTCTCCTGATCAAAGAAATTAATGGGTCGATTTCTAAGGACCCCACACGAAAACACGGGAAATTGCCTCTCGGGGATAAAGTGAATTGTTGTTTTTTTCAGATTACTGAAGGATATAATAATTTCAACTACAACTTATTCCTCATATCATATTATTTCATCTTGTTTTTCAAGATGTTATTCGAAGCACAAGCCTTAAAATAAACCGAAGTAGATTGGTTCGTTTGCATATTTCCAACAATAATATGAGTCTTAGTGTAGAATGAATTCTTTTTCGATTATATCACAAGAACTATCATTATCTCAGATGATACTTCTTTACTTCAACTCTTCCTGTTATCAAATAGTCATCTGAATATTGTATCAGCATACATGTTTCGGAAGGATTTCGAACTGCCATATTTATTAAAATTCCAATATATTCATTGTGATGATGACCGACTCCCCTATAGTTGATAATATCTCTTTGTTACAGTTCCATTCCATACGGTGGTCTGCATTTTCTCTGATTCATGTAACGACAAGTTTTATATCAAGAATAATATCATCAGAGTTAGAAAGGGAGAGGAGATCGACAGGGATACAAAAGAGAGGAATTTCACGTGTTCCATCACTTGCTCGGATAATCCAAATGGTAACAATCATTGTTCTGGGCGTCGACAGTAGTGTGCAAGGGGGTGCACATATATGATTAATATTTTGTCAGTCATCATTATAGTGTGTAAATGCAGATGCACCCCCTTGAAAGTGATCTTGGCGACGCCCATGATCATTATGTTCTCCATGCAATAATATCCTAATCTATAATATACATATCAATGAGTAGATAGCAAAATGATACTTTGAGGACAGGATCCAACGATCGAAACCGGTTTACTCAGTCTAGACATATTTTTATGATGGTAGCAGGTGTGCTAACAACTGGTTTATCAAAAACCGGTTTCGAAATAAAGGATGAGAACAGGATTCAAGGATTTAAACCGGTTTACTCGGTCTAGACATATTTTTATGATGGTAGCAGGTGTGCTAACAACAACTGGTTTTATGGAAATCAGTTTTGAAATTTGAAGATGATGGTTGTGAAGGTGTCCGTGGGTAGCGGCTTATAATTATTTCCCACGCATTGAGAATGATTCATTTTATGACTATACTCAATTAAAACATAATGCTTCAGCAGGTGTAAAGATTACCTTCCAAAACTAGGTTTTATTAAGCAGAAAAACTTGGCATACACATGACATAAGTATTCTGCAACTAATGACTTTTGGACATAAAAAAGACAACACAAGATCACAGCAACGAGTCGACGAAATACAGAGTGATTTCACCACATTTTCTCCCAGTAATTATTTCGAAACATAGTCTTCTAAATATCTGGGCCTTCGACGAATTCTATAGTAGCTCTGCCTTCACCTGATGAATTTCTCTCTTCAACAGGATTTTCAGTTTGAGTTGGATTCATCAGATTTGGTTCTTCTGGAATGATTGTATGATCGTCTATCATATTGCTTCGAGTTGGTAAATCAGGTTCTATTTCTTCCGTTTGTCGTTGGACAGTTTGAGTTTCGCGAAATAATAATTGTTGATTTCCCCGAAGAGCCAAATGTTTTATGGATACGTTCGTTTCACGACCATTTGACAGTCGTACTAGGGCATACTCAGGGTTCGCATCCTCTACAAGTGGTTCATATTTATTTTTCCTCACATGTTTCCTGATTAAAACTGGTCCTGGTTCAGAAAGCCAACTAGGTAGTGCTGGTCCAAACGATGATTTTCTCGTATGATTAAACATTCTTCGTGTGGAGTACACTTGATCGCAGTACAAAGTAATGATCGTATGGAATGTAGGGCTTCGTGTAATACTTTCTCCCATTGATCTATTCTAAGACCTTTTGTTTTCAATGCTAAGGATATAGTCTTCCAAATTATACCATTGTAGCGTTCTATTTGACCGTTACCTTCTGGGTTGTACGGAGTACTACGGCTTGTCGCAACTCCTCTGTCATAAAGAAATGATTTCAGGTCCTTGGACATAAAACAAGGTCCTTGGTCTGTATGTAAGTATGACGACATACCAAAAATTGAAAATGATTGGCTCAAACAAGCTATAACTGTACTGGATGATGTATCAGCGCATGGAAACGCGAATGGAAACCTCGAGAATTCATCAATTATCGTTAAAAGATAAATATTTCGGGTACATGATGGTGAAGGGCCTTTAAAATCCATATTCAATCTCTCAAATGGTTGAGTGGCCTTGATAAGTTTACCATGCCTGTTTATGAATTTTGGTTTTATTTCAGCACAACTTGGACATGAACTTGTCATTTTACGAACATCATCGATTGAATACGGCATATTTTTTGATTTGATCCAATGATACATACGTGTGATACCAGGATGGCACAAAGCTCGGTGTAAGTCAAATAATGTGTCACTGCTTGTAGATCCACATATTCTGGAGAGAGTGTCGGCAACGGTATTTCTAACTCCTGGTCTATAAGCAATGTCGAAGTTATAGCATGAAAGTTCTAGTCGCCATCTTAAGATTTTCTCGTTTTTTATTTTACTAGTATGATGCATGTCGAACATGAAACAAACAGATTTCTGGTCTGTAATTAAAGTGAACTTCTTTCCAATTAAGTAGTGTCGTCATTTCTTGAGAGATTCTACTATCGCATAAGCTTCTTTTTCAACTGTTGAATGTCGCTGTTCACTGGTTGACAAAGTTCTTGAAAAGAAAGCAACTGGTCTATCCAATTGACTCAAGCAGGCAGCTATAGCATGATCTGATGCATCAGTTTCAATTTATTAAGCAGAAAAACTTGGCATACACATGATATAAGTATTCTGCAACTAATGACTTTCGGATATAAAAAAGACAACACAAGATCACAACAACGAGTCGACGAAATACAGAGTGATTTCACCACAGCAGGTATATGTGGGAACCTGTTTACAAATATTTGCCATGGTATGGTATCAGGTGTGCTAACAACTGGTTTAGTGGCAACCGGTTTAGAAAAAATTCCGTACACACTCGGTGCTGTCTAATTAGCATCTCTATGTATCTCCTACCATTTGTTTGATTATACAAAGCGATTGAAAATTTGATATAAATATTCCAAAGACATTTTATTGAAATCAAAATAATACTTTTTCTTCATTCAAATATCTACTCCGAAATGCACCTCCTCGGAGCTACAGCCCGTGTAAGTAAGGTAAAAAAAAAGATTATTGAAATTGTGACTGAAATAAAGGATTAAATCTTCTGAAAATTGGCATGCCCTTGTCTGTTTAGACACTTTGGGAGTTGGAAGTTGGAGGAGGGTCTACACTTTCATTGCCCAAATTGTATGTTCTTAATTATAGGAATAGTATTCTCAATGCGTGGGAAATATGTTCAAACTGATATCCTGTAAACCGGTATGGATCCTTGCTACTATCAGGAGAAATATTTATAAAGTGATTTCCACAGACACCTGCAGAATCATTATCTTCTCATTTCAGAAACGTTTCCCACGAAAATTAGTTGTTAGCACACCTGCTACCACCATTAAAAATATTTAGACCAAGTGAATTGGTTTGGATCCCATTATCCTGTTCTCATCATGAAAAATATGTCTAGACCGAGTAAAAACCGGTTTGGATACTTGGTGAACCGGTTCGGATCCTTGAATCTTGTTGAAATTGCCATTTGCTATCCACTTCAATGGGATTCTGGAACAATAAGGCACAATAAGTCATCTTCCCAACTTTTGATAATCAGACTTACAGGTTTCAGAATACATAGTTTCATTCATCATCAGAAGCGGAGGTACAAAAGTGGATTGAGGAAAATTCTTCAATAAGATACATGGTGACACAATAAAATGAATGAGGTAGGTAATGATATTCACATGGAAATGAAAAATTGAGCATATTGAATTGGTAACAATCACCTAGTCATTCAGAAAGACAATAAATAATAATTCAAAAAACTAAGAAAACACGATTTCATAGATAGCCAAACCGGAAAGAAGTAAAGAAAGAAATAATATAAGTGTGTTTATAAATACACAATTACACAACATTTAGTATGCTGATTAGGGAGGTGCTAATATTTTCTATGTTGATTATTTGTCAAAACACGTCTATTATCTTATTCCCAACTCTTTCAGTTTGTTCACATGGAGAATGCGAATTCTCAATGTATTTCTTTATATACATATTGATATCCATTTTTTTGTGTTCATAAATATATCTGATGAGAATGTTCCTTTTCAATTTGGTAGTTTTGTTATCTCTTAAATCGTGTTTTTTGCTGTTACTCAAACTACTATCGATTCTATATTTCCTATTTCTCAGTTTGTTTACTACAGAAGCGTGTTTTTTGTTTTTTTCGTTTTTTGTAAGTACTGCCGCGCAGTGGGAGTGGTGATTTTGCGTGCCTGTTTCCTGCCTTGGATGTTGTTACCGTTTGTCAGGCTCTCTCTCCGAGAACTTCAATTCATATGAGTACTTGGTGCAAGACACTACCGTCTTTCTGTATGTAACTATTTTCATATCATGAAAGTATACAGGGTGATTCAGGTTTTGAGGCACAAACTGAAATGAAAGATAGATCTCATCATTTTAATCGAAAGAGTTTATATAATCATTAGTTCGATCTCGTTCAATAGCGGAGCTACAGGGTGTCAAAGCTGAATTATTTTCTTCTATTAGTTCAAATATCTCGCTTACATGTCAAGATATCATTTCGAAATTTGGTGTGGTCAATATTTCCTAGTAGATGATCATTTCAAGCCATCTAAAGATTCTCAAAATCTACAGGGTGATACGTTTATGGGGGTAGACGCTTCCTTATTCCCCCCAAACTTTCCCGTAATATGCCTCTAGCATCTTTTAGTGATCAAATTATGTGGATCGTTCAATTTAGAGGCTCTTTTTTTGCTCCTCAAGTTTGTTCTAGAAACAAACCGTTATTGAGATAAATAAGCATATACGTTCTAAACTGTTAATTTTGCCTGTTTCACTTGAATTTTCTTCAACTGAAAAAAAACCTTGACTTTTTACCATCTGTATCCCCAATACTGATCCAGATTGGACTCGTGATTGCAATTTCAGTGAGTACATTTCATTGCATTTTCAACGAAAATAAAATGTAAGCGAAACATGTTTTAGAACGTATATGCTTATTTATCTCAAAACCGGTTTGTTTCTCGAAAAAAATTGGGGAGCGAAAAAGCCTGTAAATTGAACAAACCACCCAATTTGATCACTGAAAGATGCCAGAGACGTACTTCGAAAAAGTTTGGGGGGGATAAAGGTGCCTCTACCCCCAACAACGTATCTCCCTGTAGATTTTAAAAATCTCTAGATGGCTTCAAATGATGATCTTCTAGAAAGAATTGACCACACCAAATTTTAAAACGATATAGATTCCATCTGTCCGTTATAAATTGGGTTTTATCAGTGTTAAAATATTAATAAAGTACTAAAATAAGTTGCACAAGTGAAGTCAAGGTAGTGTGCACACAATACAAGTATCAATCAGCATCTCTGGAACTATTACCTTCTTATTATTGATCAGTTGCGTGTTCCGGCAAAGACTTCAACATATAAACAGAGATAAAAAGTGATAAGCTTGCGTCT